CAAAATGGATTAGTTATAAGTTCATATCCACTAAGAATAACTTACATCAAACACTAACTTGAAAGCAACATAAAAAACAAATATTTAGGCTGATTTTGTTTTGTATCTTGAAATAGGTGCATTTGACGGAAATTACAGGAAACTGTTGTGCTAGTGATTTTACAGAAATCTCAATATTGGCATACAAACTTTCGAATCAAAATGTCTCAAAAACTCATTTATATGTTTATTTTTAATTGTCAGATATTTTTCAAACTGGTCGGAGTGGGGAAGTTTAGAACCAGATGCCTCCCGAGAGAATAATGTTTTAATTTTATTTCTCAGAATTGTGTATTATCAAAGCCATCGATGTCGTGTTGAATAAACAGCTTGAAATATGTTCAGTATAAAATGGCCAAGAAATTTCTCAGTTCACGATTCGTGTAAACACAGACATTAATCAAGTTTTGGTGTCATGGCCTGAAAAGATTGGAACGGTCAAATTAAATTGAAAGAAGCGAACCACCAGTATGTTTCCAAGTCACACTTTACCTGCAATGTGAAGTAAGTTCGTAAAAGTGAAAGTACTGGAATAAAGATTTTTGCAATCAGCAAAAAGTCATTTATCCTCGTGACAGGTATATTTGTTCAGCATGCACATCTTTAAGAATGAAATCTTGTCTATGTTTTTTCTCCCCTTTTCATCTTATAAATAATATTCTTTTATTTCATTTATAGTCACACCATAATCAGCTATGACCGCATACAAGGTGCTTAATTGTTAAAACTATTAGGTCTCCATACTAAACAATTAGGTCACCAATGAAACAATTAGGTCATTATGATAAAAGCAGTTGTCACCATGCAAAAAAAAATATTTTACCATGCTAAACAAATGAGTCACCACGCTAAAACAATTGGGCAACCATGCTAAAACAATTGGGTCACCGTATATTTTTTGCCCTTGCGCTTTTCATTGTACCGCTGAATAATCATGTTACATATACCTTTATATTTCCTTCATTTTCCACTATTTCTGTGTGACATATATTGCATCAGATAAAGGTCTAGCAGCATCGAAACTATATTACTTATGATAGGCAAAAAAAATTAGAAACAATATACACAAATATCTGCTTAGGATATGCTATATTTTCTAGAAATAGTCGCATTTGAATGGACTGACTAGAAATATCGTGATACCAGTCTATCTGTGTTTTTGTCACCGTACGAACTAAATATACATATTTTTCTGTTATGGCTTGATTGTTGTATTTTTTTGTTGATTGCAAGTGACATTCTGCTCTTGTAAAAACTGGCAATGGCTATTAACTTATTATTTAAATTATTCAAAACACAGAAAAATCTGTCACATTGCGGTTCCTTATTTCAAAAAGATCCTACGGCAATGCAAACATCCTAGGCCTGACTCGTGTTCTTCACCTTTGGTTTTGCAATTTACACTCTATATTCACGCTTCTGGGGCAATCAGTCAAAGCCCCATGCCACCCATGTAGTTATAGTATTGACTCAGTCACCTCGCAATAAAGGATGTGACCAAAGTTTTATGGGGCGTGGTTCACCCCTGTGAAATTTACACATTTTTTGATACCTCACCTGCGTTATTATGTAGACAAAAGCACTTTGTGCCATGATAATCATTCACTGAGATCCAAACAGACATCCTAATGGAAAGAAATTAGAATGATATTAGTGAAGAACTTAATTACAAACTATTTAGGACGTCCATTATAAAGTTTGTCAATGAAATTTTTAATGCATTAGTGCCATTTCATTATATTCACTTGTTCCCCCCGAAATTTTGACCTTTGACATATTTGGCTTCAGATTTCACAAAATCGGACTCGTTCCGAGGGTTTTAGTTACATTTTCATAAGCAAGTTCTTTGTACTAATATGATTAAACGCAAGTTTTCAAGTTCCGACAGCGATTTTTAAAAAGGTATGTCATGTACATTTCTGCACCAATGAATTGGGCATTTTATATTGTGTCACTCAGCCGTTGATTCCACGATTTGAGATTATAATGCATTTATAAAAATATGTTACATTTGAAGAATAAAGAAGCTGATTTAGAAAAAGGCTTAAAATCATTACACGATATGCATAATCCCAAGCCTTCTTTTATAAGGACACGAGTCCGCGCCCTTGTTGCAAACATGTTCGTTATGTAACATTTTGCTACTCGTTGCAAGATAAAATGGGAACAAGTCAGAAAATGGTAAAATACAGGATGAATTGATGGGATCACTTGGATAGAAAAGAATATTAAAAACGAATATAACGGTTAAGTTATTGAATGATTAGCACGTGTTCCTATTTCCACATTAGTTCCGTTAGTGGCATTATCATTTGTGTCAGCGATTTTTTTTCACCTGTCCAACGTGTGTTTCCTCAGTGTCACGTGGGATAATTAAAAGGTTTTGAATACAATGACCACAGGACGCCTACAAAAAAGAACATAAAATACGCAAATCCATCTCCCCACAACTCCGCAAATGAAAACGGCCAAGCTTCTTAGGGTGCAAATGATTATAGTTCTTCATAATAAGAGAGCGATAATTAAATTAGAAAATTGTAAACTACCTACAATATTACCCACTACTTCATATTATGACAGGCATGTATAATGTACGACCCGTAGTCTGCATCAGATCGCGAACTGATTATATCTCGTTAAGTTTACATAATATTGGTAAATTTCCAATTAGCTTTCCGGCCTGCACCCTTGAGGAAGTTATACACGCTACTCTATGGCATTTAATTAATTAATTGTCAGAGATCAACCAGTCTTTGTAACTTGATTAGATTTGAAATATTTTTTGTCATTAACAGGAAGCAAAGAGGTAAATCGGTTAACTTAAACAAAATTTTATTAAACGTGGATAAAATCTGCACACTTGCCATTTTCGTCGCAAATCAGCTACTTTGGCGAAAAATCCTCAATTTGTGTACAAATCCGCGGATATTAATTCTGACCTGACTCCTTGAGTAAAGCCCTGAAGAACGACCCCACCACGTGGGTCAGTGCGTATCAAATAGAATCATGTTCCATTTTCTTCATTTAGTTGTGTACTATCTCTCTTATCACGAATATTTTTCACCCACAATCTACTACAGACATTCTGGTATTGGAAATGTCTAGTACTTGTGATAAACATGATATATTTCTTTGCTTTTTGATTTATAAAAGATCTGACTCTTTTTGTGCCCAATGTGGGCAAGCGCTTAGTTATCTTTCCTCATTTCCTCAAATTCCTTCAAAAATAAACATCAAATACTGACCTTTACACCCAATCAAAGCCAGATTTGACCTCAAAGAGCATTTTGATATAGATGTTGTCAATGAACTACAGAATTAAGCGAACGCGTTTTCAACCCCATTTTTCGAATTACAGAAGTAATAGGAAACGGAGTAAATTTGTACGAAGTGCACAAACTTGAGCATAAATAAAGACGCGTGTCAAAAAACATTTCATTTGTTATAACACATTTAAAAAAATAAATATGACCTTGCTAATGACATTTATTAAAAGCAATAAAGACTAATGCAACTATCTGCTTGTTATTTATTTGTCCATATAGTAGTGCTTGGCATTTATTTGTCCATATAATACTATGCTACGTTCGGGTTCAAAATCAACAAGTGTCCTACAACTTTGTGTAAAGGAAGGCTTAAATTTTCACAAAACCATAACCAGTGTTGTTAAATCTACCAAACCCAACTACATAACTGCCTACTCTCCCATTCTACTCTTGCTTTAGTAAGGGTTAGAAATAAGAGGAGTTTCGTTAATTTGACATGTGTGCCTTATCCAAGGTCATGACCTGGTCCAGGTTTAGTTAGCAATGGGAAGATACACAACAGGACCGAACCTGATGGCAATCTCTGGTAACAAATATCCAGAATGCTGAGATTAATGTTCTGGACAACTGTCCCTACTTAACAGCTAGAATCTGATACAGGTACAGAATGAAGCCATGCTAATAACACATCCATTCTCAAGAGGAAACTTTATGTTTTTGATACAGGCACTGAGAGCGATAACATACTGCTTGGTGTTTATTGGTCCGTATAATACTGCTTGGTGTTTATTGGTCCATATAATACTACTTGGTGTTTATTTGTCCATATAATGCTGCTTGGTGTTTATTGGTCCATATGATACTGCTTGGTGTTTATTGGTCGAATTAATACTGCTTAGTGTTTATTTGTCCATATAATACTACTTGGTGTTTATCGGTCAATATAGTACTGCTCGGTTTTCATTGATCCCTTGTACTTCCATGGATTCACTGGACCATATGATTGGTATTTTAAAACTTGTTGGCCCATCTAGTACTGTTTGGCGTTTATTGGTCCATATAGCACTGCTTGTTGTGTACTGGTCAGTATAGAAATTGAGGGAAGGTGATTGGATTTGGAAATGTTAATGCTGTATTTGTAATTTTACGTTAAGGAGTCTTTAGTTTAAATCAAGGGAAGTTTAGTTGACAGAGACTATTTTATGATACGTAAACATTATAACCAATCTGGAAATGGGTGAGTTAAATTTAGAATGTATACGGTTTTGGTAGCCAATATTTGGTTAAAACTGAAGAGTAAAATTTAGCAAACAGATCTTTTGATGGTATAATCTATTTGTAACTGATAACAATAGATACTCTCTTCTGCTGGATCCCTTTACAAAAGTAAATGGATGTGAAAACAAACGTCATGCCTGTAAGATTTAAAATCATTTTTTAAGGAAATGAACATCGTTTTTTTCTTCCATGTTATTGGTGTTTCTTTGTCTCCATATAGGGACATCTATGTATAGTTTTGCTTAACTTTTGGGATTTAATTTCATATAAACGTTTAGTCAAATCAACCGAATTAAAGTTCCTTGCCGAGCGATACTCCACTGAGGTTTTTGGAAAGCAATTCTTGCACGCAATGCACTGACCTACAGCTGCCCTGAAACGGATGTACAGTAATATATGCTTTAGATGGATTCGACCGCTTCGGTGGCCTCAGTGGTTAGATAGTGCGCCTCTGATGCGGGAGGTCGTGGGTTCGAACCCTGACCGAGTCATACCAAAGACATAAAACTGGTACAAGCATCTTCCTCGCTTGACGCTCATCATTAAGAGGTTAGTGTTAGGAATAATCATCCTGGTGTCAGGATAAAGTGACTATGTGGGACACAATGCCGCATGTCACACACACAAACTCTCTCTCTCTAACACACACACACACACACACACACGCGCGCGCGCGCACAGATTCCTTGACCAACATTACTGCAACATCATCCTGTTCTTTTGAAGTGTACAGGTATGTCTAAAACTAGAACACATATTTTATTCTTTGCTTCATTTAACTAGGATTGATATCAGTAACTGTTAGTGATGGTTTATTTTCTTGAAAATATACGCTCCAACACTATTGTGGCTTTTTGGTCTTAATTTGTAACCAAAGCATTCAGCATGTCTCATTTGAGTTCATCGCATTAAGTGTACATGACTGCAAGGTATTTAGTTACATATCTGACATTTGGTATGCGTATCGTTTATGCCTTAAATAGACGAGTTGCAAGCAAAAGGTCAAAAGGGTGAAGAAGAGTATATAGTCTATTAGCAACTTTCTTGACGTGTAGTGCGATCGTAATAACACACATGCTTAAATTACACATATTTCATAATCTGATATAGCTGCGTGGAATTCTTTATACATGCATTCCATTAACGTTCCTTCCTGATTAAGGACATACTCAGTTTTAAGAAGATGGTGTAAAAATCAACCCATACACACCAAATCCGTACATGACGAACCCACGATCGACAAACATTTACAGGCAAAAGTCACTACAGTATATATTCGCTTATAAGTCGTGTCAAACTGCAAACTGTATTGACCCAGATTTACCGTCGCAAGATGCACAGGCGGATCTGTGTATAGATAGTCTGTTAGGAGTATCAGTACGACATAAATCCTGATCTGACGTCATATCATTGTATACGTTTTAGTAGTTGGGCCCGACTTATAAGCGAGTATAAACGATATATAAAACGTACCAATTAACACCTCAAACTAAGTGTTATTACCAGTTTTATAAGAGCTAAAAACATATTGCTTTTAAGCAACGTTTGCACGTGAAGTTACAAGCACACGTGTTTTCTCCCTGATTAATTTAGAATCTTTTTGCTTAAATAATATTAAAGATAGTATATTCAAAAAGTCATTTGTCACGTAGTCTAGGATTTCCCTCTTCTAAATGCATATATAGAACAAAAAAATAACAAAGAAGCAAAACAAACACAAAACCCTAAACAATCCGCTATGAGGGTGGGGGAGATTGATAAAAGAAACCTCATTCAGTTTCAAAAGCTGCATGGTATACGATCGTGATACATATGGTTATATTATTGATATAAGGCATGCATTTAAAAGTTTATACAAATGAGTACTTCACACCTTTACGATGTCAATTACGAGAAGTTACGTGTTCGATTTTCTTTGTTGCTTCAAGTGCAAATTATGTCTTTGCGACTGTCAAGAGATCAAATTCAGACGAAACATGTTATACTTGCAGGTTTGATATGTTTCGGACCATCCACTCGTAGAGATTTCCCCAAATGTTTACATCATTAATATACAATTATTATATTTGGTTTGGATTAATATGCTCATGAGTTTTACTCTATAGGTTATAGTGATGTCAAAAGCATGTCGTCATTTAACTTGCATGTTGATAGATGGCCAAAAACTGATTTAAACTGCTAAAAGAACTCATGTATATGCCCAGTAAAAGACGCTGAGATTTAAGAAAATTTGGAATAAGCTTGGAAACAATCATTGGCACACTATATATGCCAGATGGATAAGAGTTTAAGAAATAATGATTTTAACCAATCGTTACACCTATAGTTACATATTCATCTCTTGGTTGGGGGCCCCGGGTGGCAGAGTGGGCAAAAACGCTCTCCTTTACCGGTCACGGCCATCTCACCTCTGTCCGTGTGGATTCAGATTTCGGGCTCGACCATTATGGGTATGCCAATAGCTTTCCGTGATTCGTTGATTCTTTCTGAGGTTTCCAAGGCTATTTCTTCGCCAGATGGCATCAGTACACAATTAAGAAAATCCGATTCAGTACTCACCAATGTAGTCCCAGTCTATTTTTAGATCACTTTTTCCTGTCTCCGTTTGGTTGTGATACCAGAGTTAGATTTTGGCATTATTAGTAAGGATTTAAAGGCAATTGTTTATTCTTTAGAATGTGAGCTTTTGGTGTGGTTGTCTGTGTGTATTTCGGCGACAGTGCACATTGAGTAATAAGGTCATGGGGATGATCCGGATGTGAAATCAGTGTTCCGTTGCATGATGTTTTGTTTACAATTCAGCCTTTCAAAAAAATGCAGGTCAACCACTGACGAGAAATTTATCGTAAAGTCATCTTTGAAGGTATTTTAGATTAACGTATAATTTGTATTGATTGTCACACAGTGGAAAGTTCAGTACTGAGAAACAAATGTAGAGACTATATAGTAAAATTAATTGTGTTATATGACCAGATAAACTAGCCGCTCCGTATAGGCATATCATCCGTTGAAAAATGGCGTTAAATCCACTACAGCAACAAAAATCCTTTGGTAAATTAAGAAGCGTTGACCTCAGCTGTTTTGAATAGTGTTGTTGTTGATTATTATTATTATTATTATTATTATTATTATTATTATTATTATTATTATTATTATTATTATTATTATTATTATTATTATTAACCTTTGACCATATTGTTTTTCAGATGGTACCAAAACGCAATTAAAATATTTATACTAATATTTTTCACACAATACGAAGTGAAATACCTGAAGACAGCTTATTTTCAATTCAAATTATGTCTACGCGAGAAGTTCTTTTTTTTGGCGCTGATTTCGTCATTATTCAATTATCCGTGATGAAAGGTATCGAGGAATTGTTGGTGTGCTGAGGAAAGAATTAGGTTACATTTAAGTATTTTCTTGATATTCAAATTCACGTGCCGGTATCGAAAATGCACACATATGTAATTTCTTCATGATAAAGTAGAAAAAAGTTAAACTGTTGAGTGTTGACTTAAACTATATTATTGGAAGATGTAAATAACATGGAATTGACTCTTAGACCGTCAACATTTGTACAGTATCGAATGCCAAAGCAGCAAACGGCTCACATATTGGTCTACCGCATACGTAATATACGACCTGTAGGTATTAATGTTCATTCATACCTCATAATGGTCTACCGCATGCGTAATATAAGGTCTGTAGGTATTTATTAATGTTCATTCATACATCATATTGGTCTAACGCATGCGTAATATACGGCCTGTAGGTATTTATATTCATTCATAGCACATATTGGTCTATCGCATGCGTAATATACGGCCTGTAGGTATTAATGTTCATTCATACCTCATATTGGTCTACCGCATGCGTAATATACGGCCTGTAAATATTAATGTTCATTCATACTTCATATTGGTCTACATCATGCGTAATATACGTCCTGTAAGTATTAAAGTTCATTCATACCTCATATTGGTCTACATCATGCGTAATATAAGGCCTGTAGGTATTAATTTTCATTCATACCCCATATTGGTCTACATCATGCGTAATATACGGCCTGTAGATATTAATGTTCATTCATAGCTCATATTGGTGTACCGTATGCGTAATACACGGCCTGTAGGTATTATTGCTTTTTCATACCTCATATTGGTCTACCGCATGCGTAATGTACGGCCTGTAGGTATTAATGTTCATTCATACCACATATTGGTCTACCGCATGCGTAATATACGGCCTGTAGGTATTAATGTTCATTCATACCTCATATTGGTCTACCGCATGCGTAACATACGTCCTGTAAATATTAATGTTCATTCATATCTCATATTGGTCTACCGCATGCGTAATATACGGCCTGTAGGTATTAATGTTCATTCATACCACATATTGGTCTACCGCATGCGTATACGGCCAGTAGGTATTAATGTTCATTCATACCTCATATTGGTCTACCGCATGCGTAATATACGGCCTGTAAATATTAATGTTTATTCATACCTCATATTGGTCTAACGCATGCGTAATATACGTCCTATAGGTATTAATGTTCATTCATACCTCATATTGGTCTACATCATGCGTAATATACGGCCTGTAAATATTAATGATCATTCATACCTCATATTGGTCTACCGCATGCGTAATATACGGCCTGTAGGTATTAATGTTCATTCATACCACATATTGGTCTACCGCATGCGCATACGGCCTGTAAGTATTAATGTTCATTCATACCTCATATTGGTCTACCGCATGTGTAATATACGGCCTGTAAATATTAATGTTTATTCATACCTCATATTGGTCTACATCATGCGTAATATACGGCCTGTAGGTATTAATTTTCATTCATACCCCATATTGGTCTACATCATGCGTAATATACGTCCTGTAAGTATTAAAGTTCATTCATACCTCATATTGGTCTATCGCATGCGTAATATACGACCTGTAGGTATTAATGTTCATTCATACCTCATATTGGTCTACATCATGCGTAATATACGTCCTGTAGGTATTAATGTTCATTCATACCTCATATTGGTCTACCGCATGCATAATATACGGCCAGGAGGTATTAATGTTTATTCATACCTCATATTGGTCTACATCATGCGTAATATACGGCCTGTAGGTATTAATATTCATTCATACCTCATATTGGTCTACCGCATGCGTAATATACGGCCTGTAGGTATTAATGTGTATTCATACCTCATATTAGTCTACATCATGCGTAATATACGTCTTGTAGGTATCAATGTTCATTCATACCCCATATTGGTCTACCGTATGCGTAATATACGTCCTGTAGGTATTAATGTTCATTCATACCTCATATTGGTCTACCGCATGCGTAATATAAGGCCTGTAGGTATTAATGTTTATTCATACCTCATATTGGTCTACCGCATGCGTAATATACGGCCTGTATGTATTATTGTTCATACATACCCCATTTTCACTAGGTAATTAA